TGACCACCAATTTATCGTCAATTTACTCACGTATGATAGTATTCTGACGTTATCACGATGATTATTGGATGGATATGATTGGATGATGAACATGCTGAGATAGCTCGGGGTCATCATTCCCAACTTTAACATGTCACCACGCAAAACCATCATAGCCTATGACTGCCTGTGGTAGGCATTCCCGTTCCCAAGAAAGGAACGTCGAGCCCTCTAAAACGGCAAGCCAGTATGAGGCTATCTGTCTCCAAAGAAACGTGAAAGCCCACCCAGAACTACCGCATCTAAAGGCAACCATGTTGTTTGTTCTGTGTCAAAATAATATGACACAACAGGGCGGATTTTGCGTTTTTTGGTGTCTCCGGGACGATGGACGAGGGTGACGTACGAGGTCTGTCATTAAGGGATGAGACTGGTAACACTGGAGGTGTCGGGCTTGGAGGGCAGACAGGTTTTGCTTTAGACTTGGGCACAGTGCAACGGAAATTCTTGCTAAGGTTCAACAGGGCTACGGAGATAGTCTTTTGTCAAGAGCCGGGATCTTGTGCGTTCAGTCAGAATGATCGGGGAAGAGATAAATTTGTGTCACATCCCCGTTCATCAAGAACAACTGGGTGTAGCATCACGATAATGCTCCTGCAATCTCAATAAACGAGTTTTTGGCCAGTATTAGCATTCCTCTAGCATCCTCAGCCTCCCTATTATTTTTTTTTTATTTTTTTTATATCGAAGAAGCCGCGCAGGCAGAAGCCTAAATGCCGGAACACGGCGGGCTGCTATGATGATCCCAAAGAAATTTTGTTAATACGATTTTTGAACTGCCTAAGGTTAGTAGAACTGGGAAAAGCTTCCTCTTCTAGATTGTTCCACAATCTCGACACCCTGAGGACAAAGGAGCGGTCGTACCGGCCAGTTCTGGATGTACGAAGTTCGACACGGTTAGGATGGGACGCCAAAGTCAGACGGGTCTGCCTGGCAGGCACATCACGCGGCGGCATCATGGAAAAGAGCTCTGAGGAGCAAAGCCAGTTGGTGTAGTGGTAGTAAAAGAGGTAGATCGCCGACGGCCCTAAACAAATAGCCTAGCTTTTTCCCAGCAGCTGTTGCTATTGATGAGATGTTTTCGTGCCAGATAAGGTCCTCGGTGATCTGAACTCCGACCAGCCGAAAGGAATGGCTCTTTGGTAGAACTCGGCCATCCATCGAAACCAAATGAGCGCTAGGACGCTTTTTGTTGTCAAAGTACAGTACTGTGTTTTGGAAGCATTGGACTGTACAAATTTGTTGCGTCTCCAAGCAGTGATAGCCTCCAGGTCTGTTGTCATAGAGGAAGTCGTCGCTAGTCTTCTTCTTTCCAGCTCAGCGGCAGAGATCGGCTTGTCACTCTGAATTCCTGCATGTAGAGTGCTGTCATCAGCGAACCTGTGGATTGGGTTGATCGTGCAGGAATGGAGGTCATTGATATGTAAGAGAAACAGTGTCGGGGCCAAGAGCGATCCCTGGGGAACACCCGCGTTGACGTTGTGGGATGAAGAGGAGAACCCGTCAATTGCGACGGATATCTTGCGGCCAGAGATAAAGTCAGCCACCCATCTGCAAAGCTTTTCTGGAAGGCCATAGGATGGACGTTTGCTTAAGAGGGGAGTGTGCCACAGCTGATCGAACGCTTTCATGATGTCAACAGCAGCGACATGAGCGTCACCATAAGAATGGATGAATTTACTCCACAATTGCGTGACGTAGGCTAGGAGGTCCCCTGTGGATCGTTGGTGGCGGAAATCATACTGCCTGTCGCTAATCAAGCTGTGACTTTTGAGGTAGTCCAGAAGCTCGCGATTTATGCACCTCTCCATCACCTTACTTATAACAGAAAGCAGAGCTATAGGCCTGTAGCTGTAAAGGTCGGTCTTAGATCCATTTCTTGGGATGGGTTGGACATGAGCAAATTTCCAGTTTTCTGAGAAGGTGCCGGATTCATAAGATATCTGGAAGAGACGCGAATGAACTGGAGCATGCTCCCCTGCACACCTCTTCAGTACAATGGCAGGAATCAAGTCCGGACCAGAAGCTTTGTTGATGTCGAGCGACAAGAGCACTCGTCCTCCGGTCTTATGCCGGAATGTTACCTCCCGCATAGTGTAGGGAACCCTTTGAATTGACAGGCGTTGGGGGGGACGTCCATGGTGGAGTTGTCAGCAAAGATCTTGGCTAGCACTTCCGCCTTGGCCTTTGAGTTATTCGCCCGATTTGAGTCCTTGTGTCTTTTTTCTCTCCCCGAAGTTAAAAAATCACCTCAAGGGAACTCATTTTGGGAACAGTCGAAAACATTCAAACGGCTATTGCAGGAATAGTAGATGTAAACCACAGGATAAGTTTCAGATGTTAAATGTACTATTTTATATATTATCTAATTCAGATAGGTACCACTATTTTACGTGCACTGCAGCTTTACTAATAAAAAGTATCATCATGAAATTCACTAGAAGGTCATGCGTTTTCAATTTGTCTAGCAAATAACTAGTAAGTGATCTCCTTTTCCTGCATTGACGATTGGAAAGTGTTTATAGATATACCACGGCAGCTAATAATCGTAGTCAACTTACGTGACAGTACAGTGTACTAGATACGTAGGAGCAACTGCAAACAACATGGTAGAAAAACCAAATTGAGACTATCCGGAGAAAGTCAAATAACGTTGCATTCATTATTTCTTCGTAACCTTGTTACGCTAGCTATTAGCAAAAGAGAAACTTCACGACCAGGGAAAAATCATTGTAGTGGGAACTGCTTTGATATTGACATTGTTTGATTTATTTTGTTGTTTTGGAAAAGTATTATGTTCAGCAAGAAAGTAGATTAGGCGATTTTACGCTTTTTCGTGTACACTTGCAGTGTAACACTTTGCCAACACGATACGATTGGATAAGTTCGTTTTATAGTATTATCTTTCGGTTAAATTCAAGTTATATCATTGATCGGTTATGGGATGAATGGCAACCTTAATAGGATTATAATGAAGAAAGGCCTCAGGCAAGAATGATGTCTGTCTCGAACTTTCTTCAAAATATTTAGGAGGCTTTTAAAAATTGGGGAAGCCAGGTCTCTGGAACGGGGATTAGAATATAGAAAGGATTTATTTAGCTTTAAGCTACTTCAAACAATAATAAATATTATTTACAAAGTATGTTAAATTTACAAAGAGGTCGTCACATCAAACCAAAATAGTCTCTCCGAAGTCTGTTTTTGAAAATTTTAGCATTACTAGATGTTTTTACATTAATAGGCAGATTGTTGTACATTTTTAGACCTTCAACAAACATTGACTTTTCTAAACCTTTAAATCTAAATCTTTGTATATGGAAATTTTCTTTTGATCTAATGTCGTAACCTTGCGTTTCACATCTTTTTTTTTAGAAACTGTTCAAGACAAGGTGGAGCTTGATTATCGATAATTTTATATAAAAGAATTAAATTTGCCTCTTGAATAATTTGGTGTATGGTTAAAAAATGTAATGCCTTTAGCATATCCTGTATATGGGTATACCTGCTAAAATTTAACAAAGTTCGCATACATTTAATTAATAGAATTTGCAAACTTTGCTTTTGTGCTCATTTGTGTATGTAATCAAAAGTGATGCACAATAAGTAAAATGAGGAAAAATTATTGTATTGTAGACTACTCTTCTGCACCAGGGACTTATATTCTCACAAATTCTACGAAATTACCCGATTTTTTTGCCTAATTTCCCACACATATAGTCAACATGTTTATTGAAACTTAGTTGCTGATCTATTATAATACCTAAATACTTAACACTATCTACAAAATCAAGTCTCCATCAATTTTCACTGGCATATTTAAATCAACTAATTTCTTGCTATTATTCTTCTAACCTACAATGATACATTTCGTTTTTCTCACATTTAATTTAATCTTGTTTGTTTTTAACCATAAACTAAGTTTTCTCATTTCACTATTTATTACATCTACATTTCGTTACTTACTGAATCACTAACTGAAATTAATGTATCATCCGCAAACAAATTTATAAAAGAATTGCTAAGGACATTCGACATATCATTGACATATATAATAAACAGCAATGGGCCTAGTACGCTGCCTTGAGGTACTCCATGATCAACAGAAACATTACTTGATATTTTACTTTCAATTTTTACCACTTATAACCGCTCAGATAAATAATCACCCACTCACAAGAGGGCTGTACCCTTAATTCCATACATTTCACATTTTCTCAACAACTTCCTGTCAATAGTTTCAAACGCTCTTTTCAGGTCAACAAACACACACACAATCACTTTACCATCATCTACATCTTTTTTCCACTTTGTACATACAAATTGGCATGCAGTTTCACAAGAATGATTTCTTCTGAACCCGGATTGCCTCTCAAAAGAACATCGTTCACACGTAGATGCTTTTGATATTAATAACAATCTATATTTGACAACTTCGTTTTTCGCAGACGATCAGGTGGTTATTGCGAGAGACCACGAGGATGTGGACTACACGTTTAGAAAATTAAAAGTACAAGAAGTGGCGACTAAATATTGAATATAGTTAAGACTCAGTCGCTGAGTGCGGGAAATGGAGCAGCGGATCCCGAGTTAGAAATCAGAGGTATCAAAGGATGTAAGGAATTCAAATACCTCGGTAGCATATTATGAGAAAAAGGGAATACTAGAAGAGGCGTAAGAAATAAAACTCCGTTCTATGGTCTAAGGATATCCGATTAAAAACAAAAATGACAATCTATCGAGCACTCGTAGAAGCTATTTTGACATACGGGTCGGAATTCGGGCAGCTGTCACGGCATGATAGGAAAAAGATTGATGTGGCAGAAATTGATTTTCTGAGAAGAGTATGTCGGATATCCAGGATGGAACACATCAGGAATTAAGATATACGACGTACGGCAAAGAGGGTATATTCCAGTGTAGACACAACAGAAACGAAGCAGTTATTGTGGTATGGTAATGTTATGAAGAACGGTGGCAAAAAAGCATTAACTGTCATACCACAACATAGAAGAAAACGAGGAAGGCCAACTGTTTCATGGCAAGATGATGACAGATAGAGCTTTGAGGACGATCCGTCTGTTGGTTTCATGTGCTAATCGTTTCCTGCATTTTGTCCAGTCTTTCACCAGTCTGACAGTGTATCCCAAAACGTTCCTCGATGTTATGGAAAAAACCCAAATCTGTGAATAGTAGTAGTTAATTCGTTAGGAGAAAGTATCCTTGTAATTTCTTTACACTTCACTCCTTTAACTTGAAACTCAAGCTTTCGACGGCCTATGCCATCATCAGCAGGAGCTAAAAACAAAATTTTGGAAAATATCAATGATAAACAATTGATATGGGGTATTATTACTTACTAAGTCGGCGAGATTGTTACTGAGATTGTTCTTAGACGAAGTAGAAGAGAACACATAGTCAACGAACAAAAAACTGGATTGTTGAGGTTAGATGAGGAAGCATTTTTATTTATCACATAACAGCATAGCTATTTAAAAAACACTAACGGATTTAGAAGAACTAGAAGAGTTATTAACTATTGAAAATTCTTTCGAACAATAATCTTTTCCGGAAACCTCTTCATCTTTACCACGTGCTGAGGCCGACTGAGAATGACGTGTAAGATTGAAATTATTGACCCACTATCGATCAAGAGAAGAAAGAGATTTGTGATTTGTGAAAATTTAAGAAGTAAGAAAATTAGTTTCTCGTTGGATACCCCACCTGTTGACTGAAGATCAGAAAGCAGCCAGGGTTAATTGGTGTCAAAAAACGCTTGACCGTTTCAATTCCGGAAACTCAAAAAATGTGTACAGCATTATTAGTGGATTTACTGTTATGAACCAGAAAATATACAACAGTCGGCTGTTTGGGTGTACCAAGGTGAAGAAAAGCCAACAAAAGTCATCCGTTCTCGAAGTGTTTCGAAAAAGATGGTCGCGACAGTTGTGTCAAAAGCGGTTCATATTGCAACTTTTTCTCTTAATGAGCAAATAACTGTTACTGCGGATTGGTATACCACCATTTGTTTGCCAAAAGTCATCACCGAGCTTCGAAAAATCAACCCCGAAAGAAGAATTATCCTCCACCAAGATAACGCAAGCTCGCACACAGCCCAAAAAACAAGGCAGTATTTAACGGAAGAAAACGTAGAATTATTGGACCATCCTCCATATAGTCCCGATCTAAGTCATAACGATTTCTTTACTTTCCCGAAAATTAAAAACAGACTGCGTGGTTAAAGGTTCCAGTCACCAGAAGAAGCAGTTGACGCATTCAAAAATGCCGTTTTGGATCTGCCAGCAAACGAGTGGAATAAGTGCTTCGAAAGTTGGTTCGAGCGCATGCAGATGTGTATTAATGTTCGTGGAGAATACTTCGAAAAACGATAAAGTCATTTAAAACTACCTACCGTGTTGTTTTATTTCCATATGCAAAACTTAAAAGACATCCCTCGTATATTCACAAGTATGAAGAAAATGTTGAGAACCTGAAAGTCAGTGAAGGTATTTCAAAATTGAATATGTAAATCAATTTAAAAAAAATCACAGCAAATACGGTTGCTAAGCAAAGCATAGAGCACTTGAGTCTCTTCTAAAGCCTGTGGCAATCAAAGATTCGCTGCTTGTTAGCCTCCATTTTTAGGGTTTCACTGAATCGCCCAAAACTAGAGAATAGTAACTTAAGAGAAAGTTTCATAAGTGCCTTTTTTATAAATAAATATGCAACGAGTTACCGTTCCGCAACTTCTTGATTCATGTTAAGGTGTATCTAACAATCATGTTGAACTGAAGATTCCCTTTCCAAGGAAACAGGATCCAATAAGGCGGGAATATACTTGGAAGGCAAAGGCGTGTAGGGAAGCTGCACTGCGATCTTCCGGGCAGAGATATTTATCACCTTGATGGTGGCATATTCTAGTAAAATCAGCAGTGTACAGTGGCATCTCCGAGGACAAAGCCACCATTAGCTCAGGAATGTACTACTACCCTTCAGAGTTTAGTACGATCTAAAGAAGTGATTTGAATTGGAAAGCTGATCGCCTGGTTAAGCTGGGGGCCAGCACCTGCATCGATCCCAAGCCTAGACTGGACATAATCAGGAGCCAGGTCAACGCCGCCCTAATGAATGGGTGTATAGGGACCATAAAAAAGCCTGGCGAGATAGAGATATCTTGGGATGGCTGCAGACCAAGAGCTATTGCCCCGTGTATAGCGGTCTAAGGGCTGAAATATTCGAGGCCATGGAATTTGATGGTGAAGTTGTTTACTCAGCGGAATGGTCATCCCGACCTTTATTAGGAAATCAGGAAGGTTCGATATTTTAGTGAACTAACATGTACGAGGGATGTCTTTTAAGTTTTGCATATGGAAATAAAACAACACGGTAGGCAGTTTTAAATGACTTTATTGTTTTTCCACGAAGATTAATACACATCTGCATGCGCTCGAACCAATTTTCGAAGCACTTATTCCACTCGTTTGCTGGCAGATCCAAAACGGCATTTTTGAATGCGTCAACTGCTTCTTCTGGTGACTTGAACCTTTGACCACGCAGTCTGTTTTTAATTTTCGGGAAAGTAAAGGAATCGTTAGGACTTAGATCGGGACTAAATGGAGCATTGTTACAATATGACCCGCTTTTGCCACAAATGTCGCGACCATCTTTTTCGAAACACTTCGAGAACGGATGACTTTTGTTGGCTTTTCTTCACCTTGGAACACCCAAACAGCCGACTGTCGTTTATTTTCTGGTTCATAACAGTAAATCCACGATTCATCACCACACATTTTTTGAGTTTCCGGAATTGAAACGGTCAAGCGTTTTTGGACATCAATTAATCCTGGCTGCTTTCTGCTCGTCAGTCAACAGGTGGGGTATCCAACGAGACACTAATTTTCTTACTCCTAATTCTTCATGTACAATTTTTTGAATTAAGGTCTTGAGATCTTCAAGGACGCCTCAATCTCGCGATATGTCACATGTATATCTTCAATCATGAGTTTGCGCACAGCATCGATGTTTTCCTGGGTGACTGACGTTTTTGGTGCACCCACCCTGGAATCGTCGCTAAGACTCACCCGACCACGTTGGAATTCTCCATACCAACGGGAAATTCTCGGCTGATGTGGCGCTTCGTTGCTGAAATCAGACAGTAACTCAGCAAGACATTCTTGTTGCGATAATTGTCTCTGAAAGTTGTAATAAATTATGGCGCGAAAATGTACTCGGTTGAGTTACATTTTTCTAATGACTTGGTGACACTTAAAAATTCACTGTGTGAGAACACTGCATGTATCGTTGTGAAACTTTGAATTTAAGTTTACTAAAGAGTGAGGTTAAGATTCAGTACTGACGTTCGATCCGCGTGGCCTACTATGTTTCTATATGCATAACTTAAAAGACATCCCTCGTAGAGTGTTGGTACACTCGAGGTCGGCAAAAGGGCCACAGATGCCTGACTTCGCCTACTCACAACTACTACTACTACTACTCGTAACAAACGTGATCATGAAAAAAATATAATTTAAAATGTTTTTCTATCAATGCGTGGTTTTTGCATCGTCTAATGTCCCAGCACCTTTTCAAAAATAAGGAATAAGTTATTATAGCTAACAAACAAATTCCCCACATTTTCCTTAATTTTTTGTATTCTAAACCTAGTATCAACTCATTTATTCTCAATGCTCCATGAGTGTTATCGAGGTGTAAATTATGTGAATACTTTAGTTGAATCACTTGAAATAATCTAGAAATAATCACGAGGACTGGTGAAGCAATAAATCATCGCTAAAAAAGGATACATATCTCGATCCGATTGTCCCAACACAAGTATCATGGGCGACGGCGATGTTAATGGAAGACGAAGTAGTTCTTCGTAATGTAATTTCCAGTTTGCTGTAGTTGCCATAACTGTCATCATGGCTATTTCTAGTGTTCGGCCTGATCATTACTCAAATTTCAGTATTTTTTAATACCGAAGCAGCCGCGCAGACAGGAGCCTAAATGCCAGGGCACTACGGCTGCTATGAGGATCCCAAAGGAATTTTTTTAATCCGATTTTTGAACTGCCCAAGGTTAGTAGAACTGGGAAAAGCTCTTGTAGATTGTTCCACAATCTCGACACCCTCGGGACAAAGGACGATCGTATCGGTCAGTTCCGGATGTACGAAGTTCTATACGGTTAGGATGTGAGCCCAAAGTCAGGCGGGTCTGTCTGGCAGGCACAGTGCGTGGCGGCATCATGGAGGAGAGCTCTGAGGATCAAAGCCCGTCGGTGTAGCGGTAGAAGAGAGCTAGACAGCCGACGGCCCGCCGGTGCGAAAGGATCCCGAGACTGCCTGTTAGAGAATAGTCATGGATCATTCGGACCGCCCTCCTCTGGACAGCATCGACCATAAATAATGTAGTCGAAGCGGGAGCACCCCAAATATGTGAGCAATACTCGAGGCTAGGCCTTATCTGGGCCCTGTATAGAGTGAGAAGGTTATGCGGAGAAAAGTACTTCTTAGTCCTAAACAAATAGCCTAGCTTTTTCCCAGCAGCTGCTGCTGTTGACGAGATGTGTTCGTACCAGATCAAGTCCTCGGTGATCTGGACTCGGACCAGCCGAAATGAATGGCCTTTGGCAGAATTCGGCCATCCATCGAAACCGAATGAGCGCTAGGTTGCTTTTTGTTCGTCAAGGTACAGTACTGTGTATTGGAAGCTTCAAATTATACAAGATTGTTGCGTCCCCAAGCAGTGATAACCTCCAGGTCTCTCATCAGAGAGGAAGTCATCGCCAGTCTTCTTTTTTCCAGCTCATCGGCAGAGATCGGCTTGTCGTTCTGAATTCCTGCATGTAGAGTGTTGTCATCAGCAAAGCTGTTGATTGGGTTGATCGTATAGGAAAGGAGATCGATGATATGTAAGGGGAACAGTGTCGGAGCAAAGACCGATCTCTGGGGAACACCCGCGTTGACGTTGTGGGATGAAGAGGAGAACCCGTCAATTACGACGGATATCTTGCGGCCAGAGAGAAAGTATGCACTTATAACGTTTATTTTTCCGGTTCAGACAAAGTTAATAATTTTGAACAAAATAGGTCTAGTTTTCGAACTATGATAAAACTTATTATTTTTGAGGTTTCCGAGTATCTAAATTAAAGTTCAAATCTTTCTCTTCAAGACTATGAAAAGTACTTTATTCTTAGTTTATTTTGAAGCAGTTTTTTATCTTGCATGGTTACTGACAGGAGACAAAATTTTGACTTTTCACACACTGTATGTCTTCCCCATAGATTCCCCAGGACTGAATCATCAGCCACACCGAACTATTGAAGACGGTAGTGATAAGATACTGATATGATTGCTGGACAGTCGCAAAATAAGTGCTTAACCGTCTCATCTTGATCACATATGCCATATTATAGGGATGCTTCCCTAGCTGACAGTGTTCATTTGCAATGCCAGTAGTAAACTAACTAAAGCTGTTCTCTGAACATTAACTGATCCCTTCGCTATTTTTATCACTAGGATAGCTAGGAATTTTATAGCGAATATGTAGGTAGCTAGACGTACCATACACGTTTTTGAAAAATTTGCTTATGAACTTTAAGCATAGTTGTCATGGTTTTGATGGACAGAATGCTGAGATCTTTGAGTTGCAAATGACGACTCAGGTAAAACTTACACTATCAAATGGGGATGGTGATGTTTTTGCTTCTTTCCATTGCGGTTTCCTTTTATTGATTCACGAATTGGAATTCTTGATAGTCCATTACACTTTTTACTCCCTACGCCAAAGAGTTGTTATGGGCGGGGGAGGGTATATGAATTTTTTTTTATCTTGGTACATTCATACGTTCCCAATCCCGGTAATTCTATGCTCCTTTTAGGCATATTTAGATTTCCAAGTACATTTGCGTTTAAAACTTGTGATTGATAGATGAATGTTTTCGATCCGCGTACTTCTGATATCCAAGCTCACCGCCTGGCTCGGCTCACTAATCTATCCCACAAAACATCTATCCCCAAAAAACATATACAGAGAAAACCAAATATCACTGACGAGGTAATATGTTAGAAAGAGTAAGCCGTAGCTGAGCCCGTAACCTCGACACTCGAGTTGCTAGGCAACGTTGAGCTTCTATCTCTTTCTATCATACTTATTGCACAAGAATGTGCTTATCTCTCGAACAAATTACGACGTCAGTAGTATATGAATTTCCCTATATACAGGGTGTTCCTTAATGATACGCAAATATTTAAGGGTGTGGATCTACATGAAAAGTTAATGTTAGTTTGCTTTATAAACTATGGTCCAAAAATGTATCCTTACAAAAACTCGGGGTGTTGAAGTTTTAGGGAAAAAATTATATTTTTCAATGCAAAATTAATTTTTAGCTTTAACAGTGGCGTGCGTACGGGTATTGACTTCGATATTTTTTAAGAAACATATGGTACGCCAATGTTTTTTTGCCAAAAAAAAATATTTTTGAATTCCCTGTTCAATTTAAAACAAATGCTGTCTCTCTTGAATTGTTTTCCTTCGATGCTCCATTTTTGAGTCAAAAAGTAAAAACCGTTCTATTGTCTAACTTGCAAAATTATTATTAATTTAATTGGAAAAATTAAACACATTAAGGGTAATGAACAACAACAACTGACAACATAAACATGACATTAAAACCAACGAAATGATTACAAGAATAGTTGAAAATGGCCCCATTCACTAGTATGCATGCTTCCGCCCTCCTTCTCATGGGATTGCGCACTTGTTGAAATATCACTGGAGTGTTTGTTATTCTATTACAAGCTGCAACTATTCTTTCTCCTAATTCCTCTACAGTTTTAATGGGACTTGTGTACACTAGTGTCTTAAGATATCCCCACAAAAAGAAACCTAAACTGTCGAGGTCTGGGGACCTTTGTGGCCATTCTCAACACTTTATTACATAAATTAACCATGGTATATTCCACAGCAGAAAGAGTTGAAATTATCGAAATATATTTCGGAAATAATCAGTGCGCAGCAGAAATATTTAATGAGCGACATGGGAACAGTAACGTGCATCGAAAATATGTTCTAGAACTTGTAGCTAAATTTCGGGAAACTGGGTCAGTCGCCAATAAAAAACGCAACATTGAAAATCCCATAAGGAACGAAGCAATAGAAGTGGGGGTTTTAGGGCAAGTTCATATAGATCCTACGTTAAGTACCCGCAAATTGGAGACTGTGTGTGGTGTTAGTCGACGTACTGACCAACAGATTCTAGAGGCCCATACTTTTCATCGGTATAAAATTAACCTGGTATAAGAACTTAATGAAGACGATTTTGATCGGCGATTACAATTTTGTGAAGATATGAGTGAACGAATTATAAACGATGAAAATTTTCTATTCAACACTTGCTTTTCCGACGAATGTTCCTTTTTCTTAAATAGCGTAGTAAATCGTCATAACTGCCGATATTGGTCCGATTCTAATCCCAGAATTTATCATGAGGTTCATACACAGCAGCCACAAAAATTAAATGTTTGGGCTGGTATTTTTGGCGATCATTTAGTTGGTCCTTTTTTCTTACCTGGAAATTTGACCGGTGAAAT